CTGCAGCCTTTTGGCTCAAGCGCCGTTCTGGCTCACGCGCCCGAGCGTTCCCTGGCCTGCGCCGACTTTGTCGCACTCGTTTAAGAGTCGGTTTCTCCCGACCAACGCAGGGAAAACTTCTCTCCATGCCATGGCTCCCCCACCAGCCGACTTTCGCCATGTGGGCAACTCGAAGCTCTGGACCTGCAGTTGGCGTGGGTGCAGACGCAACAAGTCCTCGTGGTCGCGGCGCAAGCATTGCAAGTCTCCCAAAGAGACAGAATATCAGATTTCCCACGAGTTTTTGAAGGATTATGGCATTTGTTTTTTTGTTTCGGCCTTCCGACGGCCCGAGACGGCCCAAGCGCCCCCCAAAATGGCCCAAGAACTCTCCAGCATGGCCCCAGAACGGCCCAAAAGGCCTCCAAGACAGCCCCAAATCGGCCCAGAGAGGCCCACAAGGCGGCTTCCGACGGGCCATGGGCCCACCAAGACGGCCAAAGAGGCCCCGAGAAGCCCTAAAGGTCCAAGAGGCTCCCAGGAAGCTCTCAGGAGGCCCCAAAAGTGCCCCCAGAGGCTCCCAAGATGCCCCTCCTCCCCCTCCTCCCCCCCCCCCCCCCCTCTCCTCTCCTCCTCCCCCTCTTAATCTTCCCCGCCATCCTCCCCCAAGTGTTCCCCGAAGTGTTTCCACAACGGCTGGGGGGGCACATGGCCCGATACCTTGGCAGAGCTTTTGCCGCAGCGCTCGGACACATGGGCGATTCTAGCAGGCGGGGGGCGGCGGTGATTCGCCGCAGGCGTCTTCGGCAAGAGAAGACAGAAATGACGAGAAAGAACCGCGCACGATGAAACATTCACGGCACATCCCGCCCAACCACCCACCAACGAGCCAACCCGTCTGGGAACTAGCCCGCCAACAAGCTCGACAGACGGACACGAGGTACACATTCCATGTAACGCACAGGCCCTAAAGCGACTGCTAACGCCCTGTTCCTGCTCCTCCTCCTCGCCCTCGTTTTCCCCCACCTCCTCCTCCTTGCCCTCCTCGCCCTCCTCCCCCCCCCCTCCTCCCCCCTCCTGCCCCGTCGAGGTAAAGCTCATCAATCACCAAATAAATGATAGGACGAGCTCGCACGGAGCATTCTGGAGCGCCCCTGATCGGCGGCACATGCCGAAGGCCTCTACACTCAAAGACGGCGACCACCCCCCCCCAAAAAAAACTACTTTTCACCCGAAGGGTGGTCTATGATGCATCACTCGTATCAGATCGTCTGGTGACGCTTTACGGCAGGACGGCGCTGGCGCTATCCTCAGCCCTGGAACGCGTAGAAGTTGTACCCTGTAGTTTAGGGCCACAGGAATGCCCAGAGGAGGAGGCGCCGCCCGTCGTGCCAGCGCAGTCCTTTGCCATACCCTGCATCGACACACCCTCGGAGCAGAGGCCCATAGAATAATCCATTGAGGAAAGATCGTCGTCGTCCTCGCAACCCTCCACCAGATTGTCGGGCTTGATCTTCCCGGCGCCCTCGAAGTCGGGAAACACCGCATGCGCGCGCTCATCATCCCCACCACGCACGCGCCCAGGCATGAAATTGAATGCGCTCGCCTTGAGCCCCGCAGGGTAAGCCGAGGACCCAGCAGCGAAGCCATGGTACACTTTCTGGGTGGCCGTCGCAGGCGCAGGAGTAGGCGTTGGCGCTGGCGTCGGTGCTAGCGTCGGTGCTGCAGACGGCGCCTCAGAAGTCGCAGTAGTTGGTTGATCTGGTAGCTTAGGGCCACCAGGAAGCCCTCCTGAGGTGGGGGTTGTCGAAGAAGGGCCAGGAGACGAATGAACCTTCAGCTTTGCATCCGCTTCCGCGGACCACTTGCGGGGCCCGTTGCCCAGAGTGTCCGCGGCTTGCACCGCGTCGGCGTCGGTCTTGAGAGACTCTCCCAGTTCCTCCATCCTGGCAGACGCATCCTGGCGAAGGTCATCCACTAAGGTCCCCACATTTTGGCGAAGGTCATCCACCTCCACCATGCACTTCACGGAAAATCATCCATCCTGGGCTGAAGCCGTTTGTCCAGCGAGCGCTCGATAGCAGGGGCCAACTGCAAGCCGAGGCCGCGAAGGTCCGATTCAGTCTTCTGTAACCGCGCCGTCCAATCGCCAAAATCAGCCAGTTGGGGGGGGGGGGGGGGGGGGAACGCGCGACGCCCGAAACATATCCAGCTCATGTGCCAAAGCAGCGATGGTTTGATTTTGCGCATCAATTAGTGCCTGCCCATGCCGTGCTCGGGGAAAGCGGGAGGCATGAATTGAACGAGTTGTTTTTGAATCCCACCAGCCCTTTGGGCGCGAGTGGTTTAGAGAGCCCGCTCTGTTCTCAACCCCCTTCTTCCCCTTCGGGGAGGGGTTTGCCCCTCCCCCTGCCCCCTCCCCCTGGGCCTCGAGAGGGGCCCCCGCGGGTCGCCAGGGGGGGTCATTTTCGACTCCTGGGAGGGTCAAAAAAAAACACCACCCTCGCGAGGATTGTGGCCCCGACGGGGGGCCGAGTTTGGCCCCTCTCCTCTTCTTTGAAGCCAAAATTATTGATTTTACTACGGTTTTGGCACCATTTTGGCCTCCTGAGGGGGCCGCGCTCATCTTCCTTCATAGTAAAATCATTGATTTTACGAAGGTTTTGGGCTCATTTGGTCCTTCTCAGGGGGCAGCGCTCCTCTGCGCTTCAGAGGAGGTCGCAAGAGGCCCCAAGATGGCCCCACGATGGCCCCAAGAGGCCCCCAGGAGCCTCCCAAGAGGCCTCCAAGAGGCCCCCAAGATGCCCCAAGAGGCCTCCAAGAGGTCCCCAAGAGGCCCCCAAGAGGCCCCAAGAGGCCCCAAGAGGCTCCCAAGAGGCTCCCAAGAGGCCCCCAAGAGGCACCCAAGAGGCCCCAAGAGGCTCCAAGAGGCCCTTAAGAGGCCCCACGAGGAGCCCGAACGACTGACTCACACCAGGACGAGGGGCCCGAACGACTCACACCACGCAGAGCCCGAACGACTCACACCACAAGGAGGAGCCCGAACGACCCACACCAGGACGAGGCGCCCGAACGACTCACACCACAACGCGGGTCCGAACGACTCGCACCACGACGCGGGTCCGAACGAGTCACACCAGGAGGAGGGGCCCGAACGACTCGCACCAAGACGAGGGGCCCGAACAACTCACACCACGAGAAGCCCGAACGACTCACACCAGGACGAAGAGCCCGAACGACTCACACCACTAAGAGCCCGAACGATTCACACCAGGAAGAAGGGCCCGAACGACTCACACCAGGACGAGAAACCCCAAGCGATTCAAACCACGAGGAACGCTTTCTCTCCCTCCCCCTCCGCCTCGCCCCTCCCCCGCTCCCCCCACAAGGAGGATGTGCAAGGAGGCGGGGGGAGGGGGGAACAGGGGAGATATGCGGGGCCAAGCGGACACACGCCTGAAAAACACGACTGTCGGCATGCTTCGCGAGAGCTGCTGCTGTGAAATGGGCCGGTGGGGATACGCGAAGCGTAAAGAATTACAACCATCCTCAGACGAAGCACGCGTATAGAGTGTCATTGGGGGCGAATTGCCCTCGCCTTCAGACGCAGAGAAGACGCCCTCCTTGGACAGCTCATCGAAGAGGCTGGTCACCACAGGGGCCTGCGGAGTGAACACCTTGGCATCGGCAAGTGGAGTGAGAGTCCGACGGCGCCGCTGTCTGCGCTGCCAGAAACTCGGAAAGAAGAACCGAACCTGCGAATGTTTAGCACGACCAGCCGCCCGGCGTAGCCAGAGGGCGCAATTGAAGACACACGCCGGCAACCGAGAACGACAGGCACAGATCGCATCACTCGTAGAGTTGAAGTCACGTCCAATAACAGCCACAATGGCGCCATGGACAGACAGCTGAGCAGCCGCGATAAACACCCTCACAGGAAAGGGCCGAAAACTTGCTACCAATGCGAGAACAATGGGCGCAGCGAGCTCAGCCTGGAGGACATGCAACAAAGCAACCATAACATGAATGAATTGAATTGATAATTGCGTAGCTATATTGGGCCAGCCTGGCTTGAGCCAAAATGGCTACGGAAGGGTGGTCTATGATGTATGACATTATGCACGGATGAAGAGGGAGAAGGCAGGAAGGGGGGGCAAGAGGGAGAGGCAGAGAGAGGGAGGAAAGGGCAACTACATACATACATACATACATACATACATACATGCATGCATGCATACATACATACATGCACACACATACATACATACATACATCCTCGGCCCCGCTCTATTTCCAGGCCAGCATCTCGACAATGTCTGTTCGCAAACGTTGCCCAGCCAGAGTGCACCATCCATCCGCGTCGGGCAGAGGCGCGGGAGGCCAAGGCAAACAAAAGCGCCCTCCAGCGACAGACGGAGCATCTTTATAAGATGCTCAAGGGTGGGTGGGCAGGGTTGAGCCCAAAAACCAACGGAAGCGATCTAACATCGACGGCCTGGACTCGTGACGGGATGAGGAAAGACATGCGCGCATAGGATATCCTCGACCCCGCTCTACTTCCAAGCCAGCATCTCGACAGCGTCTGTTCGCAAACGTGATCCAGCCAGAGTGCGCCATCCATCCGCGTCGGGCAGAGACGCGGGAGGCCAGGACAAACAAAAGCGACCTCGAAACATCTTTCCGAAGATCTAACAGGCCCTAAGCCGCTAATCGCACCAAGGCTTGGCAAGGCTTGGTGCGTGGATGACAATCTAGCTTCGCGATAGGCTCTGGCAACGGCGCTGGACAAGCTGGGCGGGTATGGTTCGGCAATATTTGCCCAGAAAGCTCCGGGTGGCGTCTTGCCTTCCAGAGCTCGGCGTGGACGGTGCGTGAAAGAACAAAGGCCACGCCCTGTGCACTTGCAGGTGCTGGTCGAGTCAAAATTGAGATGGACATATATCGCACGGGTCCTCTTCCGCCAGGCTGTGCCAAAGGCGCAGAAGTCAAACTCCAGTCTTAACCCCTGGCTGGCGCGCAGCATGCTGGGCCCAGCGGGTCTGCCAGACCCACGACGTGGAAGGGTTCTCGATGGCAGCGGGGACTCCGCGCCTGGCACACCCCAGAAAGAGGCTGAAAGAGAACTGCGACAACTTGTTACCCGTCTCAACCTTGAGGGGGTCACCCGACGACAGGTTGGGCAGGCCAAGCACGTGAGCGGCGTCCCGCAGGGCTGGTGGCCCGTTGGGCCGATTCCGCGCCCGTGACCACGAGCTGCAGGGCATCCCAAGCCAGACGCCCTGCAGCAGGCCACCGCGGAGCCACCCGCGCACCACGCGCTGGGCTCGTCGTCGGCGGAGGTCACCGAGGATCGGCTCATGGCCCACGTCCTGCTCGAAGACTCGGGGCGCCAGGCGAGAAGCCATGCTTCGCCGCAGCGCCCGGGACCAATTCCCAGAACCACTGGAGATCTCCAGGTGCACCTTCGAGTCGGACAGGTGCGCCCAGGAGCTCAGATTCTGCATAGGGCGCTTCCAATAGTCACGACGCAACCGAGGGCCCGAGACTGTAGGACGGGTCGCAGACGCTGCAGCTCCACATGAACTCGACCATCCCTCGCGTACAGCTTGAGGCTCCTGACGGCCTCCCAGTGCCTGCGTTTCTTGATGTCGCCGAACTCCCAAACGTTCGTCGACCTCACGGGGCTGGCCCCCTCGTGGCGCAGTTGGTACAATATTGGGGGGCCGAGGGCGCCCAGTCCGAGGCCGGCGCCCACCTGCGGGGGCACCCGCGCCCATGACCTCACGCCCAGGAGGAACAGGGGCGCGCCGACCGCACGTCCCTCCACGAGGCAATCCAGCAGCTGGTCGACTCAGCTGAACTCTTGGTTGTCCAGCTGGAGACTGGTGTCGTAGTCCTTGGTCTTCGACATCACCCTGAGCTCCACGGGAAACAACAGGATCGAGCACATGCTCAGATGCCGTGGACCAGCCCTGACGGGCCGCACGACTGACTGGACGCGCAGCGACAGCGTCTCCGACGGCCCCAGGCTGAGGGCAGAAGTCAGCACGGCCGTTCGGGCAGCGGCCAGGGAGCCGTTCGCCGCCATCCAGTCGGCCCCCAGATCCGTGACGCTCGCCACCGACAGGCCCGCATCCGTCGACCAAGTCAGGAAAGCTTGGTATCGGACCTGGTAGCCCCAGGCGGTCCTGTACCCAACGGCCGTCAGCTCGAGGAACGAACGCTGGGGCCGATCCTGCCAGCTCACGCCCAGGGGATGCCTCGCCCGGTGGCAGCTCGCCCGCCCCGGGCGGTCCAGCGGCTCGGCTGCCAGCTCCCACGGCCTCGCTGGGCTTGCGGCTGCCGTCGCGGAGGCTCGCCCAGCCGGAGGGCCAGCACGCCTCCTCTTCGACGCCGGGCGGGGGCCCGATGTCGGCCCAGCTCGCGCCAGCAGGCCCTCCGTGGCCGCTCGCAGGGCTGGGGCAGCCAGCGGCAGCGCCGAGACAGCTGGGATCCGCCGCCGCGGCAGCGTAGCCCACGCCAGGCTTGTTCCTGGAGGCGCGGTCGGCCGAGTTCCTCTCCGAGGGGGCCCGGCGCCAGAAGAAGGCAGCGCCGCTAGCCAGCGAAAGGGCTGCCAGGAACCTGCGCGCGCGGCCCATCTCCCGCCGCGACGAACGCTCCTTGGTGGCGGCCAGGATGGCCCCCAAGCAGTCGCCCAAGCAGAGATGGCATCGGTTGAGCGATGAGACGCGTCGAAGGACATGACGGACGGCCACGACCATGCCGCGGGCCTCCAAGACAACCTGATGCTCTGAACGACTCCAGCGATGAGATACCACCGGGACCCAGCCTTTCGCCCAGACGTCGTATGGGATTTCGGGGAACTCCTCCTCCTCCTCGGTGTCACTGACCATCCCGTCCTCCACGTGCACCCCCTTCACCACGGACTCCTTTACAGGCTCTTCTACGGGCGCCTCCAGGGGCTCCTTGATCGGGGCCTTCGGGTTCCCGGAGCAGTCGATGTTGAAGACCGACTCTGGGGTGAAGGGGTTGGCGGAGGTCGCCGACTTGAAGGCGTGGGGCCTCTGTGACACCTCGGACTCCTGATGAGTACTGAATCTCCATCTCTCATTGTACTTGGAGAGCTCAAGAGCGACTGGGGCTGACGACTTTTTCCGAGCGACTCCTACTCCCCACCGCGATGAGTCCACCATCGTGAGCGCGCTGTCGAACGAGGCGCCAGCGCCCCGGAAACAGATCGCGACAATGCTGGCGCACCAACGAAGCTCGCGGAGGCAAGAGGGCCACAGCCACGCCGCGCGGCCTCCGTACTGGGCAGAAAAAAGCGCACAACGAGTTGAGAGCAGACAATAGCTCGCGGCGAATCAGACCCCGCGAGGTAAAATGAAACACCGCGCGCGAGACCGTCTTGCCCCGAGGCATACACCCTCCGGCACAGCTCCAGGAAAGCCAACCTCAGCTTCCAGCGGAGCGCTGGGTTCAGCCCGATGATCGGGGACTTCTCGTCGAGCTGCCAGCCCAGTGCCACGGCGCCGAATCTGCACTCGACTCCGCGGGTAGGGAGTCCCGCCGCACGAAGATTCGAGTCCACGGCCGACGCGGCGGCGGCCGCCGCCCCCATGTTCGTCGAGAGGCTGATCGCATTGTCCACGTACTCGGCATGAATCACACCCTCGGACACTTGCGGCACAGGTCGGCGGTCCACGAAGCGGTTCGCGAGGGGGAGCTGGGGCGCCTTCAGGGCCACCCCCTCCGGCATCGCCTGGCAGATCCACAGGCTGAAGGGGCAGCCCATCGGGGGGCCCCTGAAGCACGGGTGCACCAGGTCGGTTCCCGCCAGGCGCCGCCCGTCCGCGGTGCTCTCGAGGCCCAGCATCCTTGCGCGGCAGCCAGGCAGCGCGAAGTACCTCCTGAACTTCGGAGGCAGCTACATCGTGTAGAACGCGTCCGCCAGGTCGACCTCCGCCACCGCGATGGCCTTGCCCCCATCCACGCGGAGGCCGGCGAAGGTCGCACCCGACGCGAGGGCAACCTTGTCGGGGACGTGGAAGTTCAGGGATGCATGCCTGCCGTCCAGGATGAGCCGCAGCTTACCCGACTTCTTGTAAATGAAAAAGACACCAACGCTGCAACACCTGTCCTTGTAGGAATCGAAAAGATTCCGACGCTCGAGGATCCGCAGCAGCTGGACATGCAGCTTGGGGTTCCTCAGCGCCGGGTCGGTGTAGAGCTTCCGGGGGCCCCCGGACTCGATCCGAGCGCGACCCTCAGACTGGGGCAGCATCGCACCGTGAAGCCGCTCGACTATCCTGCGGCCAGCATCTCCTCCCAGCGCGCCAAGCGGCACAGGCTTGAAGCCCTCGTCTGGAAGAGAGAGACGATTGATATTATCAAAGTCGAGCGGAGCGACGGTGGCGCTCTCGCCAGCATGGTCGCTGAGAGCTCGGAGCTTCTCAAGAGCTCCTGAGCCAGTCAATCCCCCCGGGGGGGGCGCCGAACCGTCGGGCTGCGTCTCGCGCGTCGTCCAAGGCCTGCCGCTGGCCCGCAGAGATGGACTGAGGATGGCTGACGGGGTGCCAGGGCTGGCCAAGGTACAGCTCGTTAAGGGTCCGAACGATCTCGCCCTCCATCGAGTTGGCGCGGCCCTTGCGGAGAACCCGACGCGCCGCCGAACGTGAACAGGCGATGCCCTGCGCCTCCGAAACTGCCCGATGCTGTTGACCGGGCCCTGGCAGTGGAAATAGATCACGCTGTCGTCCAGCACGATCGCCCAATGAGTACAACTCGCCAGCAGGCGGCGGGCCACCGCCGCTGGGCCCCCCGACGAAAACGCGCGCACCGCCGGGGGGGAGCGGTACGCGTGGTCGTGGACTCGTCATGATCGCAAGGCCCGCTGCTCCTCGCGGGCCTTGCGAACTTGCTTCAGCACCGAAGCATCCCTCTCCACCTTCTTCGCCACGTGCTCGAGGAGCAAGGGGCAGATCATGCTCTTCCCATGGTCTCGACCGAGACCCGTGAAGACGGCGCTCCCGTCGATGAAACCGAAGCTCAGCAGGCTCTGGCGCCCGCCGCCACGTCCGCGGCCTCGGCTCTTCATCTTGTCGTTCCTCTCGCCGCCTCCGTCTCCGCCAGGCGACGCGCGGTGGTGAGGGTCCCGATCCATGACAGACACGTACTCATACTTCTGGCACGTCCTGAAAATCTGCGCCACTTCCGCCAGGTTCGGCGGGTCGGAGCCGGCCCAGCAGGCGAGGGTGTAGATGGCCCGCATACTCGCCTCGTCGTCGCCGACACCGTAGTCCTCGGCCGACAGCCCAAGGGTGGACCTCCAGAACCTGAAGTGGTCGAGAGGACCGCCCTGGCGTCTGTGAAATGACAGCACCAGAAACACGCGCGGGGGCCAGGAATGCGCCAGTCCACGAACGACTCCTCTGTGAAGCTGGCGACAGCATCGCGCCACTGCTTCCAGAGCCTCCCGCCTGGACCCGCTGGGTTCGCGACGATGCTCAGCAGCCTGGCGTCGTAGGCGGCTTCCCTCCCCGCGTAGGTCTGAGCGGGCTCGGAGGTCGAGCGGATAGCCACCCACGTCCCATCCGCCGTGGTCGACTCGACCAGCACCCGCACCGCCACTCCAGACGCCGGGGCCGCAGCCCCCGGCCCAGGCGCGGCTGCGCCGCCTGAGGCCGCTCCGCCAGCAGGGGGGGCGGCGGCCAGGGCGCCAGCGGGAACACCGCTGGGGCGGCCCGCGCGGCGGCCGCTGGGGACGCGGCGTCGGCGGCGGCCAGCCCAGCGCCCGCGCCAGGGCCACCGCCCCCTGCGGGACCGAAGGTCGGCGGGACGAGGAACGGTCCGCCCGGCGCAGGCAGCCGGAGGCGCTGGTGGTCGGCGACCAGAGCGGCGGAACGGTAGTCCAGTGCGGTCTGGTCACTCCACTGCATCTCGGCCATCGTGAGGTTCCGTCCGAACCTGTACGAATTGGCGGCACCGACGCCCGGCGGGGAGGCTGCACGGTCTGATGTGAACCCCACCGCAATGATCTCTTCCCTGGCATGAAAGGTCTCCCTCATAGATGTCAGCGCTCACCGTACAGATGAGCACCATCCACTTAGTGACTCTCTCCAGTGATGTCCGCGCCCGTCGCCCTAAGATCCGACGCTGGTGCCACAATAGTTCCCCTTCGTAGCGGACCGACGCCCACGGGAGCGTCCCATGAGGCGCTGCTTCCGCCGGCTCCCTGTTCTGCACGGCCAGCATTGCGTCGGCAGCACGTCAGCCCGACACGGTTCCACGACAGAGCGCCGTAGGTCAGCGCCAGGACCACCAGGAGGATCTCGTTCACCAGCACCACAGACCAGGAGGAGGGCTGTCTCGGCTCGCTGCTGCCCCCGCCGCTCGCCGAGGGCGTGGCGGGAGCGGGGGAGCCCTCGGGGCACGCCGGGCAGCCAAGGCACGGCGGGCACACACAGCTCGGTATGGCAGGGCAAGATGGGACGTGGACAGATGTGCACCTCTTCAGGTTCCCACCCCAGAGATAGGCGAGCGTTCCCTGCCAAGCGTACTGGGCGGCAGGGAGCAAGTAATCCATACGCACTGCCTTGGTACGAATTCTTGAGCCCCAAAAAACCCACGGAAGCGATCTAACATCGACGGCCTGGACTCGTGACGGGATGAGGAAAGACATGCACGCATAGGATATACATACATACATACATACATACATACATACATTACATACATACATACATACATACAAACATACATGCAGGCAGGCAGGCAGGCAGGCAGGCAGACAGGCAGACAGACGTGCATGCATACATGCAGGCATGTACGCATGTATACATACATATGTAGGGAGAGAGAGAGAGAGAGAGAGAAAAAAAGAAAGAGAGTCAAAGAGAGAGAGAGAGAGAAATAAATAAAGAGAGGAAGAGAGAGGGAGAGAGAGAACATATATTTGGACGTGGGCTGAAGTCAAGCCCCAGATCCGTTGAAATACAAACCATAGAGCGGCGAACAAAGACCGACGGCACCAAAACGGCGAACAAGCGGAGCGAGGGCCCGAAAGGCGAGCGGGACCGACGAGAGAGAGAGAGAGAGCGCAAAGGGACGGAGTGGGAGAAATGTGTCGGGGGAAAGAGGGCAAGAAAGCGGGAAAGGGAAGAGAGGCGTCATGCTTTGAAAAACACACTTGAAACAACGCTAACACCAGGAGCCTGCTTACCCAACGCCGTCTGCACGGATTCAAACGTGGGATAAAACTATGAAAGCGAGCCACACATAGCCTTCCTGGCGTTACGAACCTGGGCTCAGAGGGCAGAAACTATCTCATCACCGTCGCTACCACCGATCCCCCATCCTTCAGCGAGGGCTGCCACTTGTGCTTAGAGGCCCTTGCGCACGGGGCTCAGAAATTCTGTCTTCATGGGTTGAGAAGCCCTACAAGAAACGGAGAAAGGGAGGGGCGTGCTTGCGGGATGGGAGGTAGGGAGGGGAGGGGAAGGGGAGGAGGGAGGGAGGCAGGGGAAAAGGAAGGGCACCCTCTTCTTCCCTCCTCCCCCTTCACTTGTTCCTTCTCCTTGCCCCTGCGCCTCCTGCTCGTAGTCCTCCTCCTCCTCCCCCTCCCCTCCCCCTCCTCCTCCTCCTCCTCCTCCTCCTCCTCCTCCTCCTCCTCCTCCTCCTCCTCCTCCTTCCTCAAGGGGGGAGGGGCAGCACCGCTTCCCCCGCTGCAGGAAGGTGCATTGGGAGAAACGGCGGTGGCTTTGTATGTAAACGGCCGACTCCTGCACCAAACAGCATGCGTGCAGGACCCAGCTAGGCGGCGAGCGAGGGGGGGAAGTGCGAAGGAGAAGGTCTTCTCAGAAGGCGGCGGGGCTTCTCAGAAGCCCTCGCGCCTTCTGAGAATTTGCTCTGTGTCTTCGGGGAAGGCTTACAAAGCTTCTCAGAAGGCCGGGGGACTTCCGAGCCTTCTGAGAAGGCCCGCCTCGTCTCACTCCTCCCCCTGGCTCGCCGCCGACTAGCGTGCAAATTCAAAACGCTCTCAAATCTGGCCTCACACAGCCCACCAGTGGTTCTCAGGGCAGGAGGCGCAGGGGACGCCGCCCAGGACCTCTCTGCTACACGCAAGAGCGACCCTGGGTAAGAGTGACCCTTGGTGAGCTGAGGGCGGCTCATCCCCATCCTGGGCTTGCGCGTCGGGCGCACTCCCAGCTCCCGTGGGGACCGCGAGCGGCGACGCTCCGCACGGACGGCCGCGCGCACATCTGGCGCGCGCCGGGTGGGGCCCGGCGGGGCGGCCTCAGGCCGTCAGCGCGGGCATCGTGACGTGCCAGCTGTACCCGACCAGCACGGAGCAGACGCCGGGCATCCAGCTGTGGGCGCACAGCCTCTCAGCCTCTCGGAGATGATGTCGAGAAAACGGCTGCCCTCCCCGGCGTTCTTGGGCTTCACGACGCCCCGGCCCGATCCGCCCCGAAAAGCGGGTCAGCATGGACCCCGGGAGAGGTCTGGGAACTTCGGCGGAGGACAAACCTCCCTTTAGTAAACCTCCCCCAAGTGGAAACGGCCTAAGACCGAAACCGACGGACCTGGACCCGCAGAAATGAAGGCCGCGACGCCCTCTCGCGAACCGAAAACGGCCAATTCCTGAATCGACGTGTCAGGGTAGGAGGTCTGTCCACCCCCGAGGTCCTTATTTCAGCAGCGTGACTGCACAGCAGGTTCCCCGATCCTCGAACGTCGATCCGTTTGTGGGGGGAGAAGAATCGGGGATGGACAGACCCTCCTTTAGTAAAATGTGGTTCAGTGAAAACGACCTGAAGCCCAAACCTGGCGGGCGCAAGTCTGGAAAATAACGGCCACGGCGCCCTCTCGAGAACCGAAAACGGACAATTCACTAATCGACGTGTCACTGTTGGGGGTTCTGTCCGCCTCCGGTCGAAAGAGGGAGAACACCACGATCCACCACACAAAAAGCACCAGCCCTGGGTGGGACATCGTGGATGCTGAGCGCACGTGAGCCAGGCGGGAGAGCCGCCGCTGTCTCGCCCTGCCCCTCCTCCGAGCCTTGCTGGCGTGCACCCGGTGCCTCTCGAAGGTGTCCACGAGCTCCGGGTAGCGCTCCCTCGCCGGCCGGGCGCGAGGAGGTCACAGGGTTAAGACGGGCCTGTCCCTCTACAGGGGGAATATTCAAAAGTAGTCAACAAATAGTCGGGGGACTATTTTGTGCGTATTTTTGGGCATCTGTTGAACATTTTTGGGGTACTTACCTAACAGCGAAGGCTGATAAGTTTTTAGTAGGGTCGAAAGAGAGCATCATGACGCCCCAAGGGGGTCTGGGCGCGATCCGGGGGAGGATGCCGGGGAACTCGTTTTAAGCAAACAATGACGCACTTCGTGGTCTTCGAGTTCCCAGAACTCCATTCCTGGGCATGATTTGAATGCCCCGAGCCAACTGTAGGCCACTT